GCTTCATTTACGCTGAACTTCGAGTATGTTGTAGCTGAGACAAAAAGCTATCTCAAATGTACCCTTTATTTTGTCTCAATTTATTATTGGATCAGCCCACATATACTTGTTCCAAAAAAAATATTACAAATCTAGTTTATTAATGTAATGCAGCGCAGCGACGGTGGTCGGTGCTAGGCAACTAATTGCAGTGAGAGAGAGTGAGAGAGAGAGAGCTAAAGCGAACGGCGTACGAGCTAGACTCGCATCGTAGCGAGCGGCAATTGCAACGGTTCTTGCTGCTGCGAGTGGTAGGCGAGCAATAGCGCGACAATACGCGTAATCATGCGATCGACAACGAGCTCTGGCGAGGTAAATCGTGCAGGGAACGCAGCTATAGCCAGTGACACGCGCTCCAAAAAAAAGAGGTGTGTATGGTTGCGTATACTTGCGCTAAGCCACTCGCTGTCGCTCGCATTCTCTGGTTGCCACTCGTATCCGCTCGTAGGTGATTTGACCTTGCGTTTGCTTGCGAAAGTTTAGAAAATTTTAAAACTAGCGAGCGGAAAACGCAGACCTTTGCGCTAGTCTGCGTATTGAGTACGCAGTGAGCACGTTCCAGTGCGCTTTATTGGGTATGACTGCCTATGTCTGCGTTCTGGCAATATGCAGCAATACGCAAGCCCAATACGCAAAGGTGTGACTGAGGCATTAGGTTTTGTTTGGATGATGTGCTCTGTAAGAGTGTGTCTTAAATGAAAGCATCCCCAATGGGGAGCAGCAAAGTTGAAAAACAGACGATTTCGGTGATATGTGATGTATTATTACTGATTTGCACACTTTTGCACACTCCCATTACCTTATAAAACAGTTTGAAGGCCATGATCTGTATAAGTCCTGTGCTTTGTAACTCTGGAATATTTTAAGGAAATAGGGGAAACGGGATTTTAAATCACAACCCCAAAATCCAAAATAACCTCTATCTGGTAATATCAACATGTTTTTCAAAATAAGATACATGTACAGTACACGGAACAACAATTTCCGATTATAAGCCAGAGCTGAACATCGATTTTCCATGATTTAGGCGAGTTATTATATTCTGCGCATGTAGATTAACATGAGTAAAATCACTATCTTGATTCTGTCCCGGCTTTTTGGCGGTGACCATCATGAGATCAAAGTGACGAAACATGTACGGAATGTTATTGAGATGACATTGACGGAGACAATCACATCGAATTCGTTAGGAAAACGATGAATGTCCATCCGTAATAGGTCCATGCTTTAACGAACAGAGGGCATATGAAAACGTTTGCTTGGATTTGTCTCCCACACGGTGTTGAGTGCTCAGGGGTCACGGGCCACTGGCTTCATCGGGCAGGTAGTTCCATTATGCGAAAGTGTAAATTAACTATTTCAAAATGAGGGGACACATTACCTTGTACAATATGGACACACATTGTTTTTATTGTGCAGAACATATTCTTTTATTGAATTACTTATTGAATGAAACTATAAAACCAAAATACATTTTGTATTCTAACAATTGGAGTACAGAGAACAATAACAGGTGAATGAAATGCATAAACACCACAAACACCTCGGAAGGAAACATTTATAAATTTGAATATGCTGACATATAGTTGATAAACGACTCCGCATGAAACTATAAAACCAAAATGTAATTTGCGTTCTGGCAATTGGAGTACAAAGAATGATAGCAGGTGAAATAAATACTTCAACAACACATACACCTGGGATGGAAGCATCCATAAATTTGAATAATTAAGTTGATAAACAGAACATTTAACAGAATGTCGGAACGTAAATTAAATTTGGCACGGTTGGAAAATGCATCTTTCTACCCTGCGACTTTAATGGTACGATCCAGTAAATTAAAAGAGTAAAATGGCTCTTTAAAATTACTCATTAAATAAAACCCAAAATGTCAGTGATATCAGACAAAATATGTTATATCTTACTAAAGATGGATAAACATTGTGAAAGTGTAGCATTTTACGATAAAAGACACAGATTTAGCGAAGATGACGTCTTTATAACCTGTTTATGTGCGCTTGCATCATGGAATTCAAGGTCAAAAGGTCAATTCAGACGCTGATAAGTTATTGGTCAAGCCTTTTTGTTTCCTTTGTTCCGACAAAATTATACAATCAATCAAAGCAAGTTTAATACCAGAAGAAAGCTAACGATTAGTTTTTTCATTAACCGCTTACCCCCAAAGTCGCTTGACCACAGTGAAACGAGTGAGAGCTTGCAAAATCGGCCAAAGTGTGATTGGAACTTGCTATTTGCTCTTCTCCAACGCAAAAAGAGACGACATTGTGCTGGATAAATATATTTTTTCAGATAAAAGTACAGACAATTTGCATATGGTCTTTTTTATATTATACTTCATGAAATGTTACCAAAGTGATTTCCGGGCACCCCAATGCTGGGAAGAAACGCACATTTTAGAAAACTTCACTTTTTCATGGAAAAATGCTTATTTGTTATATGTACGCAAGTCAGATTGAGCAGATGATACAACGTTTCCATATGGGGGAAGGGGGGGGGGGTTAAAGGGGGAATTTGGGCGGTGGGGGTAATTGTCCTCGGGAATTTTTCCGGGGGATAATTGTCCTTGAGGGTAGTTTTCCCGGCGTGATTTTCCGGGGTTGATTGCAAAGGAAGTCATAGTAATAACATAAATAAAAACGTGGGTAAATGGAAGTCTACGGATAGTTGTGCCATTATAGCACAGCTGTTCTTCCGAAGGGTCAAAATGACATGATGGTTATGATATTTTATGATTATATGGCAATTAAAGATTAACATTTAGCAAACTGACATACTGATTTTGAACAGGTTTCGTTAAAAGCTAGCATTACAATAAATAATACATTTACTGTTCATATCCCCCTTTCCCTTCCCCCTCCCCGGAAAAGTTAGAATGTATATGTGTCTTATTTTTTTTCTACTCAAGTGACCATCATAACAAAAACAAAAAAATCCGATTACAATTGGACAGTATTTTTATACTAGCCACATTTTAAACAACGGCGTCCTTTATAATCATAATTTGAATATAATGTTCGGTTCTAAAAAAATAAACAACATAATAAATACATGTAATAACATAATTTGAAACGTTAGTAAATTGCACGCAGGATGGACAGGTCTGTCCTGTTGTGCCATTAAAGCGCAACTGTTCTGCTGAGGGGTCCAAATTATATTATATAATGCTGTGATACGATGATATGGTAAATATTTAAAATTTGGGCCAACAAAAATACTGAATTTGAACCATTTATTTTTACAGCTAGCGTTACAAGAAATAAAACATTAATGATTCACTTTTATCATCCTTTTCCAACCCCCCTCCCCCCCCCCCCAAAAAAAAAAAATTCAAATTCAAAATAATGATAATAAATAAAAACAAATGCTCTTTTAACATTATAACAATGATAATAATAATAGTGTAAACTTATTATAGAGCGCACACACCATCCAGGATCGCTCATGGCGCTAGCTGAGCAACAGTTCTCTTTAGTACAAGTAAAGTAAATGTTTATTTGATCGAGATAATACCATCATAAATTCAAAAACTCAACATTTTGCAACACCCATTTTAATCCTCAAAATTGTCGATGGCTATTTAAAATTATTCTACTACACATACAAATAAAGTAGTGTCCTTCATGATGATTATTTGAATTATGTTCCCTTATTTCAAACAAAATATTACAACCTATTTGCCTAAATAATGCCGTGTATAACATTCCTTTCTTTCCTACAAAAAAAAAATCAAGAGGGAGATGAGCGGGTCCTATTACATTCGTATATGAAGCCACAACCTCGAAACCCGTACACAGCGAAAACAATAAACATTATAATGGGGTAGCTAAGACATGTTAGATACAAACCATTAACCATGTACTAGCATGGTATAAGTTTGTCTTTCCTTTCATTAAAATTATATATACATGAAAGTGACCCTCGACCCTTTTGCCGCGGTGCGCTGTGTGTAGGGTTTCATGCAGGGCGTACTGTATTGCTGCACAAACAAATATACGATCGTACTTATTTATTACGGCACGAGCAAATGCGTTACGTCATAATATTCTTAGCGCGAACGTTTGACCCCGCAAATTTGGTTTGTTGAAACACTAGAGTACTCCACTTCAAAAACAAAAGTATGATACGATTTACAAAATATAGTTTTGATATGGAAGAGCATTGTTCAAACAAAGTAGGCAATTCGTTACTTTTCAGCACAGCACACTGCCAACGTCACCACCATCATCCCCTTCCCATCTTCTCTCACTCTCTCTCTCTCTCTCTCTCTCTCCCATATCGCTTTGATCGTAAGTTTCTTTCAATTATGAGCGTTGGTAGAATTTGAAAACTAAGTGGGCCTACTAACGCAGAAAATAAATTCAAGTTAACACGTGCAGTGCTCTAGCTGATGAAATGTAAAAAAAAAACAACAACCTGCTGATTGTGATAATGCGGAAGTTAACAGTAGAGTGTTTGGCTTGTGTAGTGTGTGGGTTTACCCTTTTCGGCGTTAATGAATTGCACACCGAGAGGATTATATCGGGTATTTGATGAAAGGTGAAGCCAAAACAGCCAAACAGATTTACCGCTCTCTAAGGAGATGAATGTATATCTTGCCCTTTTCTCCGCAATTACACAATTTATTTCCAACTCTTTTAGCAACGGTCATATATTTTTACTGCTTAACAATTGGTTTGATTTAAAGAGAAACATTTTCAATGTTTTGTTCACTATTAAAACAACTCAAGCTTATGTATGAACATGTTAAAGCGAGCCTTGGATTCATTTCATTTCGAAAAACACAGGTCGTCTACGTTTTTTGATTACTCACGTAAAATCTTTTTAAATTCCTAATAGCTGTAAGGAAATCTCAATTTCCAAGATAAGAAACCCCAAAATGCTCAATAAAACCAATGTAGATATTTTGTAAGATTCACATTTCCTTTTCAACCACGCTCAATTTATTCAGAACCCACGTCAGCACACTTTGTTCCCGCATCTCCATCTGGAAAAGAATTCCAGGTTCCCGCATTTCCGTTTGGAATAAGCGTTTTGGTTTCCGCATCTCCATCTGCAGAGGACATCCCGGATCCCGCATCTCCGTCCGTAGAAGACGTCACGGTTTCATCTTCTCCGTCTGCAATGGACGTCCCGGTTCCCGCATCTCCGTCTGCAATAAGCGTTTTGGTTCCCGCATCTACATCTGCAACAGACATCCCGGTTCCCTCGTCTCCGTCTGCAATGGACGTACCGGTTCCTGCATCTCCGTCTGCAACGGACGTAACGGTTCCCGCATCTCCGTGTGCAATGCACGTCCCAGTTCCCGCATCTCCGTCTGCAATAAGCGTTTTGGTGCCCACATCTCTATCTGCAATGGACATCCCGGTTCCCGCATCTCCGTCTACAATGGACTTCCCGGTTCCCACATCTCCATCTGTAATTGACTTCCCGGTTCCCGCATCTCCGTCTGCAATAGATGTTCCGGTTCCTGCATCTCCATCTGCAATCGACATCCTGGTTCCCGAATCTCTCTCTGCAATGGACATTGCGGTTCCCGCATCTCCGTCTGAAATGGACGTCCCGGCTCCCGCATCTTCATGTGCAATTGAAGTCCCGGTTCCCACATTTCCGTCTTCAATTGGAGTTGCGGCTCCTGCATCTCCATCTGCCAGGTATGACGCCTTCTAGCATTCCCATAATTTCATTATGTTTACAGTGAAAATAGATTTTTCATGTCAATTTTTGTATTATCATTATTATTATGTAATTATTAATTATAAAATTATCCTCATCATCATCATAATCATCGTCCTCGCAATATCAATCATCAATATTACAAGATTATACAAAGTTTAAATCAAAAAATTGTTGCAGGAGATGTATTAATATTTAGACCCCGCCTGTCCTTAAATACACAACTGAAAATGGTCTGGCTTTACCCTTCACTTCGTCACTCCATTTTTATCTTTTCATAAATGTTTACGTAAACATACTTTCTTTATACGGACCATCTTTGGCTCTTTGCGAGATACGTGACCATTTCGCTCAAAATTGGACTTTCTGTAAATAAAGTAAATAAGAGGACACTTTTTTTCCTTTTTTTTTTGGTCTCCAAATTTGAAAATTTGACATTTTGTTCCGTGTTCCGTCGGGGGGGGGGGGGGGGGTAAGGTCACCTTTTCTAGGTCAGCCAATGGCATATTTTTATTTATTTTTATACAAAAACAAAACAAAACAAAACAAAAATCAAAAGGGGGGGGGGGTTACAAAAAACATACACATAAAACAAATCGGGGGGGGGGGGGGGTTACCCCAAACCCCCTCCCCCCCTGCGTACGCGCCTGCTGTATAAACATATGGTACAATACAAATATGCTCACAATAATAACTTGATGTCAACATGTAATTTGCATATACACATTTAATAACGGGTTCTAGGACAACTACCCCCTGGACAATCATCCCCGGAAAATTACCCCCGGAAAACTACCCCCAGGACAATTACCCCCGAGGACAACTACCCCCGAGGACAATTACCCCCTAGGACAATTACCCCCCCCCCGAGGACAATTACCCCCGAGGACAACTACCCCCGAGGACAATTACCCCCTAGGACAATTACCCCCCCCCCCGAGGACAACTACCCCCCGAGGACAATTACACCCTGGGACAATTAACTCCCGAGGACAACTACCCCCGAGGACAATTACCCCCTAGGACAATTACCCCCCCCCCCCCGAGGACAATTACCCCCGAGGACAACTACCCCCCGAGGACAATTACACCCTGGGACAATTAACTCCCGAGGACAATTACCCCCAAGGACAATTACCCCCAAGGACAATTACCCCCCCCCCCCCGAGGACAACTACCCCGATGATAATTACCCCCGATGACAATTACCCCCCGATGACAACTACCCCCGTGGACCATCAGAATTTAATAGCAAAAGACGATCTGACACATTGAGAGATGGCTACGAGCCCATAAGATCCCCTGCATGACCCCATATTCTTTCAAATACTATAGCACGTTGTCTTTCTCATTACTACACATTTCCCTTTTATTATAATTTATGCAACGCCAGCGCGGTTGGTAATTTCCACGAAGGATGTAAGTTTTAGGTAATTGTGTAGCGCTTTTCAAAATACATAGAAATACATTTCTCTGGAGCAGCGTTATTTTAGCTTTTTGTTAGTCACGGTACCCTCTTAAGAAATGAAAAGTTTCCTCAAATCCCAAAGTCTTTACAGACTATTAATTTTGCATGACTCTGGCTCTCATCAAGTACTATGCACACACATATGGGCACATTTAAGAATAAAAAGACATTGGTCAAAAAAATAGTTTGTAATCCACACACTAGAAACTATTTAAAGTACTGTATGCGGGCACCTTGCCGCCGAATGTACATAAACAAAGTAATATATTCGGTCATGACCTTGATACACTAATATGAGGATATTCGGGCCTCTCGTTGCTTTTATTTGCCTTGCTGTCAAAATAGTGTCAGCGAGCGAGGAAGGAAGACACTTTAGTATCTTCCAAATTTTATTTTCTCTTGTAATTACATATTGTTTCTGGTATTTGATTTTTTTTTTTTAAATCAACGTTTTCCAAATCATTCTCTTGCAGCACCCCGGTTGAAAAACGCTGTGCTTGAGTTACGAAATCAAATGAGATGAAATACCAGAGAGCGGATATTTTTTTTCTTTTGACATGGCACCGTACATATAACTTGAAGGCAATTTCTATTTCAAAATAATTTAACGTACACGAAAACATATTATACTTCAGCATGACAACAGAAATGAATAGATAACGTGAAGAAAACCTTAATTATGGATCACGGCATGGATGAGGGCCCATTATACATACAAAGACAAATACACGATCAGCTGGTGAAAAAGTTACAGAGGATGCATAAAGGAAATCTTACATCCTAATTTCTTTGTTGTGCCATTGTTGGTGAGAGAGGCTGTAACGCGTACTTATCTGCGCGCAATGTATTGTTTAATTTTTAAGAAATGTAATTTCTGTTCTTTACTCTATAGCAAAACTACAGGGGAATCGAATAATTTGAAAAGACTGAAGTGAAGGTTTATGCAATTTTCTGTAAATAGCAATTGGGAGAGAAGCTTGCGTTATACGTCACAGTCGTATAAATTCCTCTGGAATTATTGTCATTGGGGGTAGTTGTCCTCAAGGGGTTATTGTCCTCGGGGGGGGGGGGGGTTGTCGTCGAAGGGGGAGGGGTAGTTGTCCTCGGGGGTAGTTGTCCTCGAGGGTAATAACAATAATAATAATAATAATAATAACGTTTTATTTACCCACGGTGGCCACTTCAGTTATGAAACTGGTCTTCCAGCGGGCCCTGCATAACATAACATAATTATTACTACCCTTCTCCAATCTAAAATGCTGAGCGCCTAGCTAAAAGGCAGAAGGTCCCATTGTAATAAGTCTTTGGTATGACTCGGCCGTGGTTCGAACACACGACCTTCCGTACATGAAACGGGCGCTCTAACCACTGAGCCACCAGGCCCAGTAGTGTCCATGGGGGTAATTGTCATCGGGGGTAGTTGTCGTCGGGGGCTAATTGTCCTCGGGGGTAGTTGTCCTCGGGGGCTAATTGTCCTCGGGGGTAGTTGTCCTCGGGGGGTAATTCTCTGGGGGTAATTTTCCGGGGGTAATAGTCCTTGGGGAATAATTTTCTTCAGGCGGTAATACTCCGGGGGGGGGGTAATTTTCCGGGGGGTTATCGTCCTACGGGGATAGTTTTCCGGGGGGTAATTTTCCGGGGGTGATTGCCCAGGGGGTAATTGTCCTGATACGTTAATAACGAACTGAATACTTGTATAATATATTATTGTGAATTTAAAGTTTTAACTAATATTCATTGCGGGTACCCATCGTGATATGTATATGAATACAACAATGATATTTCCATTGCTTCTCTACATTAATAACACATTTAATAAACTAATTTAAAGAGAACCCAATCTATTATTCTCCTATTGGCCCTAATATCTTTCTTATAACAATTGTGCCGATGAGGACGTACATAAAGTATAGATCAGTGAAATAACATTCGATCTATAATAAATTAAACCTAACCAAACCAAACAAAGCCTGAGCTACTATCAACATATTAACATGAATAAAGAGTAGTTTGAAAGAAAAGGTTGTTATTATTAAAAGTATCATTCACTTTTGTTCACTCGATTCGCTCTCTCGTAACAGTTTTATAAACAAATGTGTCCATACGTTTCTTATTTAAACTTGATTTAGCACTGTTGTGCGGTATGAGTGATAATATTCTTGACTGAAGGATTTTAACATGAACATTTGAGTTGCAAAGATGAAAAAATGGGGCAAAAAGCAAATCAAATCACGGAACAATTAAAATGATAATTTTCGCGTTTTTTTTTTTTTTTTTTTTTTGAGGGGGGGGGGGGGGAATAGTGTAAAAAAAAAAAGAAGAATTATTACAATAAAGGATTTCCCGGCCAAATTTGCGGGTTTGTCATTCAAATTCATTTGGCTTGCGTTCAAATTCGACGATTTTAGTGATGTCGGTTATATCTCGGGTTTTTATTGTGTTTTCTAGATTTCAAATCTGTGAAGTTTTCGTTAGAATCCATGTATGTTTCATTCCAATTAATGAACAAAGTGCTTCTTTTGCTATTTGGTCATTCGATTTAGCGCAACACGATTTTGTGACATCGCGACGGTGTAGTTCTTGCATTCTAATTCATTTGTAGCATTCAAATTAGCACTCTGTGCACTAAAACTAAAGGTCAATATACATTTCTCGTTTATTAAACACTTTTATAGCTCATTCTTTTTCTTTAAAGATCGTTTTTTCATGTGTATTTCATCCTATTTTATTTTCTTGCATTTATACTCTTTATATACTTTTAGATTGATCAGATATTCATCAGCCTTTAAGTTTTTTTTTTTTTTAAAGAGACTTACATTTTTACATACTTGATGGTCTTAATATTTGTGTAAAGTTTCATGTAAGGAAGTTGTTTGTCTTGTGTTTCATCATAAATTGATCACAAGTTCATTTTGGAGGAAGGGTACAATATTGTGACTGGGGTAGGTGTTTTTGTATCCCCACTTTTCCGGGGTATATGAACATGTCTGTTCAGAGATGCCATATCACTTGATTTCGCCCCTTCTTTACCTAATGTCAGACTACAAACATATGCTTTGTCCTCAAAATTAATAAATGGAATAACTGAAAAGACCCCAATGGCAAATAATAATAATAATAATAGATCACACTTATAACGCGCCTAATACATTGTTTCTAGGCGCAAATCATGTATTTAATTGCATTGTTTTAAAGCTGTAAACGTGTGTTGCATTTATTCCCCCTAACATTCCTAACTTGAATAAACATAATTCGAATACGAATGACAGGTGTTAATTTGAATGATAAAAATGACGCCTCGACAAGTGACGATTAATTTGAATGCTAGTTGAGCAGTGTCTAAATTAAATGACAGATCTATGAAATCCTTCGACCAAAATCTAA